TGGTTTGAGTCCACTAGGTGTGAAACGATTGAGCTGTTAATGGTCCTAATAACTCCGCTGTTCAACCAGGCCGGGTGATGCTCACGGACTCGTTCAGATAAACGTCTGCTCGTGCGGCCAACGTACCTTGCCTCACAGGAACAGGTAAGTAGGTATACATAGAAAGAGACGGCAGAAACAGGCAATTTATTTTGGTATCTGTTAAATACCTTGGTATCACCCTTACCCATAACCTGTCCTGCTCTGCCTGATCTGTCTGTCATCAACTTTTTCACAACAGTTCGAAAACTGTCTTTCTATGCTTACAGGCTCAGGAAACTAGCCGTACCACATAATCTTATTATTAAATTTGTGATTACCTACATTCTTCCACACTGGCTATACTGCTCCCCGATTTTTCTCCCTGTACTGAAAGAAAAAGACCTCTTTATTTTCACGATCCCTTCAACTTTTGTCCCACGACAGTGGAGTTGATAGAGTTGTTTCAGTTGATTTCTTTATTTCCAAACATCTTGACGCTTGTGATACACTCATTGACAGGATAACACGTGCTCAAGGGCACTATCTGCACCACGATATCGCGAAAGCCCTGTGAAACCCCCGGACACTCCAAATATCAACTGCTTCCTGTGAGGACTTCCACATACCGAAACAATGTAATTCCATATCTAGCTAGTTTAGTAGTAAATCGTCGGAACACTCACCCACCTCAGGGAAAATCTTTGCCCTAATTTTTCTCATTTATTAAAGTGTAGAATTTCTTATATTTTCTTTTTTGTTTTGCAATTATTTTACCTATCCACTGTAAAAATTGTAAACTGCTGAAAATTCACCCTTTAGGTGTACAAAGCTTTGCGTGATTTAAATTCACCCTTTAGGTGTACAAAGCTTTGCGTGATTTGACTTGAGTTGAGTTGAAAGCGCAGAAGTGGCCTGGAGATGAACATAATACGCAGTTTTGCCGCGGGGAATGCTTTTGCAACAATTGTACTGAGCTCGCATGTCACCATATCGGCAGTCGTGTCACCCTTTAAAGTTAGCGATATGTAACTCGGTTTCTTCTCCGCAGTAGTGGTCTTATTCGGGTCCTCACTGGTTGCCAAATCAGACCATTACTGCGGAGAAGAAACCGAATGCCCGATTGTCACAAGCATGAACAAACGGATTGTGTTCAGTTCAGTTCATTTGTGGATCGGCTGAAGTGGCAAGATAAGGTTTGTGCGAGTTTAAGGTTACCTGGTTCGCAAGCATTGGGACAGTGTGTGTCTGCTTGGGGTCATGTGGCTGGCAAGCCGA